TGATGACTACATCTAACTTCAAAGGACTCTGAATTCTAAACTTGGTATAATAAATAATTATTAATTGGATATTGTAACTTATAAATAATTTTTGTAAACTATTCCCTTACCTATTTCTTATGATTGAAATTATACCATTTCATTGTTTTTATTATGTTATTCGTATTAAATGCAAATTAATTTCATATGGTTTATTTTTAAATATTTAGTTTTGTTTGTTATTTATTTCTATTATCCGGCTCATTATTTTGTTAATAATAAATGTTGTTTTATGATGAATTTAGAAATTATCATTTGAAGTTGTTATAAATGTATAGCCTTTGCTCAAGTTAGATTCTGCTTAGATATGAGTTAACAAATGTACATACTTAATAAATTGATGTAACGTATGAACGTTTAAAATTGTATATATTATTTTTGAGAAGTCTGTAATTAGAAGTATAAAATATTTTAAAAATGGGCTAGAATATAATTTGAATAATTTAATTTACTATCTAATATTATTTATTGTATTATAAATTTATAATTTGTATCTTTTCTAAACATTTGTTATTTGTATTAAACAATAATACTCATAATTCTAGTTTCTCAATTCTTTTGATAAAATTTGTATAATTTATATTTATTTACAATGAAAAACTTATATTTAAAGACATTATAAGTTATAGTTACATGATAAAATATTTATGTCTATCTTATACTTACTTAAATAGTTTGAAAAAAAATTTATTTGTTCATTTAAAGTTGTAATCAACGTGTAAGCTATGATCATAACATTCATTAAATACATAAAATGTACTACCAATATAAGTAAAACTTGAGCAAAATATGCTTATTATAGACTTCTGGCTACTTCAATATTATTGTAATAGTTGACTTATTTAATTATTTTATAGAACATCCCTAATGAAAATTTAAATTTATAGTTTTGTTTTTTTTTTCCAGGTTATTATGGGGATATTACAGTTTATTGAACTGTCAATGCATATTCATTTGAAAAATATTTCTTGATACATAACTTTAATAAGCACAGTATTTTTATTCAATTTAACTATTTGTAATAGTTATTAAATAAATCAAAAATGGATTCAGATAGTAGTGATATGGAAATGGAGGACGAGTGTCGCTTAACAAAGTTATGTCCAGCTGTTTTAGGTTTGCAGCCTGTAAACAAAAGAAATACTCCCAAAATTATAGAATCGTCAAATTCAGGAAAAGATAAATTAAACAGAAGGGGCATGCCTGCTCGTATAAGGAAAAAAAATAAACTATTTTTTGATGAAGAAGTATTCAACACATCCAAAAATCCATCCGTGAAACAGGAGCGTATGATGTATGTAAATTCTCCTAAAAAACAAACTCCAAAAAAAATTATTGAGCCTAAACTTGAACCAAAAACACCAAAAACACCTAAACAAGAAAAAGTTGTTAGTCAAAAATTACAAACTCCAAAAGTTGCTGTCAAAACAACACCTACAATCAAACTTAAAACTCCCAATGTGAAAACTCCTGTTAAAAGTGCTTCTAAAAAATCTACCGAGAATGGTGTTGCTAAACCAAAAACTGTAAAACTTGAAACTCCTAAAAACATCGTGTCAGCATCTAAACCAAAATCTGACTCTTTGGAACGTAAACGTTGTCAAAATGTTGGATTACGACTTAGGAAAATTTTTCAACTGCCAAAAGCTAAGAACTGGATATATTACGAGTGGTTTTATAGCAATATAGACAAACCTCTCTTATATGAATCTGATTTTATGATGTGTGTACAAGACTTCTTTCCCTCGTTTAAAATTAAAACGATGACTAGAACTGAATGGTGTATGTTACGACGGATGATGGGTAAACCTCGAAGATGTTCTCAGAATTTCTTTGATGAAGAAATTAGAGAGTTGGATAGGAGGAGAAGAAAAATAAGATTATTACAACAGAGGAAAGCTAGAGATGAGTTGTTATTTAAAGATATACCAGATGAAATACCTTTGCAACTTACTGTTGGTACAAAAGTAACAGCAATGTTAAGGAGTAACACTGAAGATGGTCTATTTAATGGAACTATTGAAGCTTTGGATGTTTCTAACAATACTTATCGAATACATTTTGATAAGCCTGGGTTAGGTACACACTCAGTCCTTGACTATGAAGTATGCTCCAATCAACCTTCAGAAACTATTTCAAAAAATGTGTTGCTACAAATGTGTCGACCACGTATACCTTACCATAACCGTTCAATATCACCTGAAACTAAAGTAGACATACTTAAAACTGATCAGAATACAACTGCACAATATTCAATGAAACTTTTAGAATCTACTGTAAAATTCAGAAAAATTTTGACTGCAAAAAAGCAATATGTACAAACATTACGTAACATGAATTCAGAAGCTGAAAGAATGGTTTTATACAATGAAGATATAACTCCAGAATTTCAGAGTCGATATGCTAAAATTGTTTTGGATTTGGATAATTTAAATCTACATTTAACATCTGTAATGTGTGTGCTTAGTGAAGAAATTAAAGTATTAGCACCTGAAGAAGCTGAAACATGGCCATTGATCACGGATTATTTGCAAAATCAGTCGTTTGATGAAGCTGAACAGATGATTGAACATAATAAAGAAGTAACTGATTCCCGTTTTATGTCTGATGACCAGCCCATGTTAGCTTTAATCAAAGATTTATTAGCTTTAATGCTTCAGGTGAAGACATTGACTGAAAATGAACCTACTGCATATGAATTGGATGCTTTAAAAAGAACTATGGTTGAAATAAAACTTAAACTTAGTCAATCTAATCAAAAATCTTTTGAAAACTGTGTGGAAATTCATATGCAGCAAATTCAATCTAGTTTAGATACTTTTCATACATTATCCTCGTCTAGTAGAAAATAACATAAAATGTTAGAAACATTTGTTAAACTATATTTAACAAATATATTTTAAAAGGTGTAAAAAAATATTGTTATGAACATAAAGGAGATTGATTATTGATATATTTATATTTATAGAGAGAGATTTAAATGGATGTAACAACACTTAAAATGATTATTGATTAATGCCATCATAACTAACGTTTTAAGTACCTATATTTTAATAAATTTGATCTTACATAACCAATAATTTTAAAATGTTTATATGTTAATAAAATAATGAATATACTAATATCAATGAGGTCTTATTTTATTTAAAGATAACACAATACAAATATTGGTCATTATACATTCAGAATATTCTTTATGAGACAACAAATTTGTTATATGTAGAATATATCATGTTTAATTTAAGTAAACTAGGTTTATAATGTTTTTGATAAACGGTTAATGATTCTTGAAAATGCTGGTATATTGTTCTATCATTTATAACAAAAATATCTAATTATTGAGAAATAAATTTGTTTCAAATTGTTGATCTCCTTTTAATTAATAACATTATTTTGAACCTAAAATTTAAATGTGTATCTCTTTTTTTTTTACTCTGTGTTATTAAATTAATATGGTATAAAATGTATATTTTTTATTTACCTTCATAACAATTTATTTTATTTTAAACCAATCAGTGTCTACTTAAGTTTCATCGTATGTATAAAGTATGTAATCAGAAACATATTTGTCTATACTTACAATTTAAATTATGAGTTATTTATTCACATAATGGTATGAAAATACCTTTTTTTTCTTAATTATAGTTAATGATTAATTTGAGTTATCTAATTATAGAGTAGGTTGCACTGTATTATGAGACAATTATTTTTAGCTTTTAATTGTAAATGTATTTGTGAAAATTGTAGAAACTGGTAGAATTATAATATGTTATCTGTTAATTTTATTAGTGAATATTAATATTATTTTACTTTTAAAATCCGCAACATGTAGATATAATTTATTAATAATAATTGGTACAATTCTTCAAGAACTGAACAATAATTGAATGATGTACATTGTATTATTTACTTTTTTTAGATGTGCAATGTGCGTATTTTAAAATATTTTAATAAACAAATTATTAATATATATTTTTATTCAAACAAAGGATTTAAATGTATTATTTATGAAAGTCATTATTTTTAATGTTCTGATTGTTCCAAAATTATTTATTCACAAAATCTGATTTTACTGTATTTTTCCTAGAGTTAAAATTTTGTGTTGTTAAAATAGGTAAGAGTTTAATTGTGTAAGTATTTATGTATTTTAATTATAATTTTTATAAATTGAAGTATTGTTTATACAACCTGTATTATATAATTTTATTATTGATTGAAATGTTAAAGAAATACAAATATATAATTATAAATTAGCAAAATATTATCCTTTTGATTGGGTGACATTTTAGCTCAATATATATACCACAAATTTATGTGGCATTATGAATATATAATAAAACAAATTATACATATTATAATTATAAACATATTGTGTGAATAAAAATTATATATAATATTATACATGAATATTTGATGCTTTAATACTTCATCATTCTCCTATTGGTTATCTATTACCATTTAAATATTGTGTTTAAATGTAAGTCTAGTATCTGGTCTTGTTTGTATACTGCATAGTTATACAACTACAAAATAATATCTGTACATAAAGGAAGTGAAATTACAACAACCACTGAACCATCTCATTTTTCAATATAACATTATAATATGGTAACAATAATATATATTGAGTATGTATTGAAAGTGAAAGTTAATCTCACTCCTGCTTGTTATTATTAATTTGCTTTAATACGTTTTTACAAATCAATATGTGAAGAAAATTGTATTTTGTATTTGGTACTTGTTTTAATTTTGTTATTTTAAACCCCTTGAAGAATGATAAATAGATTTGTTATTTTTAAGCTAAACATTGCCATAGTAACCAATGTGTAGGTAAGTACTAGGGATCACAAACTTAAGTAATATTATCTAGATTGTAAGTACATGTTTGTTGTGTATGGTCATATTATATAATCCCTTTATTTAATTTACCTATTTAATGGGAGAAATAGATTATTGTTGAGATGGATAATTATAAATTAAGAAACAAACAAAAAACATTGGAAATTGATAAAAGTGTTGAAAATATTCAAAGAGATGATATTTCCATTGAAAATCCTGTTGAATATACATCAAATATAAATACATTTCTGGATAATAATAAAAGTAATGATCTTATTGGTGAGTCATAGTTTTAAGACACAATTAATATAACTTTGCATTTTATGGTGACATCTGAATTTAGATACTTTGAAACTAATATATCACCAGACAAATCCTATTGTAAATTAACAAAATATATTGATTAAAAAACTCAACGGTTATATATTTTTGAGCTCATTTTAAAAAGTGTAATATTGTTTCAGCAAAAGAACAACTTGAAAATGTATTAAATCAGCAAACTAATGTAGCAGATCCAACTTCACACCCAGAATTACTAGGTTTTGAAAATATGTCATCTGAATTAGAAGAAAATCTAGTTGATAATTATTATTCGCATGCCCTAGAAACTGAATCAGAAACATGCAAAAACAGTTCAGATGATGGTATATCATTAGGGTTTGAAAGCATAAATAGTGAGATGACACATGCCACCCCCAAATCCATAAATAAAGAAATTTATAATAGCCAACTGATAATACTAGAACCAAATAATCCTGTTATGGTAAGATTTCAGAAGACACTGAAATTACATTTATTAAAACAAAGAGAAAACATAAAAAAAGAATTACAAATACTGGTGAGTAGATTTATTTTTACTAAAATAAGATTGTTTTGTTGAAAATTAATTTAAAACAAATTTTTAGGATGGCTCAATTAGATCCAAACAAAACGAAAAATCATTGTTTATAAATGAAATACATAATATAGCTTGTCGAGTTGAAACACAGCATAGGTTATTGAATGAATTCCATAGAATGAAACTGGAATTAGAAATAACAAAAGAACGTGTGGAGGAATGTATTAACCAAGTTAAACAACGATATACTGAAATTCAAACAAAAACTACAATTGAATTTAAAAAATGTACAGTATTTTTTTTTTATTAGGAACCTATTTATTATTGTTCAATCTAATAAGTAATATTTCATAACTTTTTAGCTTCAGCTTTAAAAAGACAACTAGATTGTAGTCAAGGACTTTTAAAAGAACTACTTAAGTATGAAAAAGAACAAGAAATCACATTTAATGTTTGTAATCAAAAAAAATCTGAGGCTAAACAATACAAAAAAAAATTATTAAATGATCAACAGAAACAGGTAATTTTTACATTATCTGAAACATAATTTGGAACTTTTTTATTTGTGCTGTCGACTCTAGATAACTTCACGTTCACAATAATTTGTATTGAAATTGAACAATCAAGAATTTGGACTTTACAAAATATAAATATTATGACAGTCTGAAATGATTTTTTGGTTATTGGGAATTTCAAATTATTAAAAGTTTATTCAATATGTTTGTCTTTAAAAAAAAATGTGACATGTCTAGGATTTGTTATTATTGTCGTTAACACAAGAAATTCTTCGATTGGAAGATCGCATGAAACAATTAGGCGAACAAGCAGAGACTAAGTATAATGAAAGAGAATTTTTGAGACAAAAAGTTATGGACAATTCAACAGATCTTGATGCTATTAATGAAGATAATGCTAAGATTACATTATTATGGAATGATGTTTTAATTAGTATTCAACAACGTGATAAATGTTTCCTAAAGACAAAAAATGATTTTCAGTAATTATTGCATGGAGTTATTATAAAATATATTTATGAATTTGAATCATATAAAAATTGTCTTATTTTGTCAATATTTGTGGTTTGAAAATACAATAATTGTTTTTCAGTATAAAGTTTTGGTATTTACAACCACAATCTTATTATATATATTTTTGTATGATCATAATACTTATAAACAATAAAATATATTATTAATATTAATCAATAAAGGCAATACCTATATATTGGCCTCACTATAAAAATATTTTGCTTCAAAATATAAACAAAAAACACACTTGCATACAAAACGTACAGTTCAAAAACAATCACTATGAAAAAAAAAAATTACAAAAATATAAATATTAAAACTTATTAATAATTAAAAATAAATGTATACATTATTAACACATTGAATGGATGATCCAAAAAATGGTTCAGCTGTATTAAATATATTTTACATGCATTTTCAGAGAAGCAAAAAATAAATATCAAACATTATTAATGGAAGCCAACAGTTATAAACGCAGTGCCCAAGATGAATTTCATAAAAATAAAGATCTATTCAATTATTTGAATAGATTGAAACGAGAACATAATAACTTACAAAATAATTTTAAAACATATTTAGATAAATTCAACTGTTTGAAAGAAGAATATTCTAAGCTTATACAAATGACAGAATTTCAACACCAAAACTTAGATCAAGTTACATTGGTATGTTGTATAACTATAAATATATTAATATAAATTAAGTATTGAATTTTAATTACAGGATCAAAAATCTATCACAAATGAAACAAATACTTTATTACATTTTTTAAACAAAGTATCAAATCAGAAATTAAAATATGAAGAACATATTTTAGATGAAATAAAAAAACAGTTATTTTCAAATAACTATTGTGTTCAGATAAATAACAAAATATCAGAAATTAAAGTTCAAAATAAAGAGCATGTATGAATATATGATGTACTATATTTTCTTTTCCTAAGAATTAAATCATTTATTTAGTACCTATTGAATTTAGGAATTATTATTAGTTGAAGTTGAGAACAATTTATCTAAGGAGTTATTAAAACTAGAACAATGCCGTACAACAAGTTTTAATTTAGAACAAGATATAGTAGAAAACACTAAATATCTGAATGATAAAGGATTAGTATTGTCTACGTTAGATTCTGAATTGAAGAAATTATATACTGAGATTCAAAATAAAACAAAACACATTGATTTAGAAAATAAACAATTGGAAGTAGTGAAAAAATTACATGATGCAAGTCAACAAAGCCTAATTAATATTTAACTACCTGCATGATGTTTACCTTATATTTGATTTTTTTTCAATTTTAGGAAGGTTATATCTTGACTCCTCAAATGGAAATTGATCAAGTTAGAAATAAAATTGATGAAGTAGTAAAAGAAACCAATTTCATAAAACAATCTTGGATTCAAAAACAAAATAAAAATGTACAATTATTAGCTCAACTTAATAATCAGTTTAATGAACTAGTAAAAGTACGCAAATGTAGGTATATCTATAAAAATATAAATCAATATAATTTAATTTAGATTTACAAAATAGTATTATATTGTTATTGTTTATATCAGTGGTTAAATGTATTACCTACTAAAAATTCTTATACCTATATTTGTAATTATAATATAGGCATAAAATATAATATAAATTAAGATATTATATTAGTTTAAGAGTTAGAACAATAATAATTTATGTATGCATTTTAATAACATAGGTAAATTATTTCATACAAATAAATACTTATTAAATCGTTATTTACCTAACTTCATAATATATTTCAGATGATTTAGTAATGGATACAAAAAATAAAAAACTAGAAAAAGAAATTGTTTCTTTATCCAAAGAAGTTTATCAGTATAAACAAATACTTACAAACATGAGAAATACAATTGTGAAACTTAATGAACGTTTTAGCCAAAATAAAGGGAAAAGTAATATGCTTTTGAATGAAAATGAATGGATACAGTGTTCTTATTTAGCTGAATTAAAGGTGAATTTAAATATTGGAATAAGTAATATTTAGCCTAAGTGCCTAACTATAAATGTATGCAAATAAACAACGGATTTACTAATCAAATGTTAATATAGTGAAACCATATCATAATAATCTGTGGTGATACTTCCATTTAACAAAATACTTTTGAAAACTAAAATATCCATAATAGAACCAAATGTACCAATGTAATATTATTTGACAAATTTCTTCATAGGTACCTATTTGATAAAATAAATGTTTGTTACCATATGAGAAATTGTTGTATGAAAGTCTCACCAAAGTTGAGTACATATTTCATATATTTGAATATAACGCAAAATGCATACATTTGTATGACTATAAGTAACCCAAAATCATAATTTTATGATTTCTTAACATAGTATATACCTACTTGTAAAGTATTTTTTCATATAGTTACTTTGCTAAATAAGCTTAAGCTGTTTCTAAAAAATGTATACCTACTAAAGTGAATTAGTACCATAAAATTTATTTTAGGAAAATGAGAAGTTGTGTTTAGAATACATGGATCAATTAAAGTTATTAAAAAATGAACTGAATGAATTAAAAAATGTGTACATGGAAAAACAATGTGAAAGCAAATCATGGGATACCAAACTTCTATTGCTTATTGAAATTAAAAAAGAAATTAAGAACAAAGAAGGTGATTTAGGTGATATTGATATTATGAAAAATGAAATTCATAGAATGCAGGTAAAAATAATTATTGATAGATAAAGTTTTAGATATATTTATATGTATCATATGAATTTTTTACCTTTTTTAATAGATAAGAGAATGTCAATTGAAAAAGATATTGGAAAAAATAATGTTAGATTTAGAAGTATGCATAACAAAACGTGAAACAATTTACAATAAAGTTGCAGCTAAAGATATTCGTTTAAAGGGGAAAAATGAAGCTAAACAAAAATTTTTGAAACAGCTTGACTATCTGAAAACAAATATCAAAAAAATTAAAACAGTAACTATACTAATGTATTATTATTAAACTTCAATTATTAGGCATTAGTAACATTATGACCTATATTTTACTATTAGGACTATATCAAACTATAGCAAATGCATTAGGTATATCGTATATGTTTGTATAGGTATATCTTTTGTCCGATATACCCAAAACAAACCATACAACTCTAGCAACATCGTAGCAACTCGTCACTACAAAAAGTTTCACTCCAAACTACACCTAAACCAAAACCTTCTTATTTCTCGCATGTCCTCTTTAACCATCCCCAGCAACCCTCCTAGAAGGTTAAAAAGAAAATGGACAAGAGACGCCCTTGCCTAACACAATAATAAAAAAAAAACGGTCTCCATTGAGAACCCACCATTATTAGGAGGTACTGTTGATGGACGGTTTTCCCCCCTCAAGTCATCAAGTCATGTATTATACTACCTTATCAAATTTACTTATTGTACTACTTGTTGTATAGATTGTAAATATTGCATTAAAAAAAATAAAAAAAATAAAAAAAAATAAAAAAAGAAGGTATATCTTCAATTTAATTTAATTCTTGATACATATGAATCACTGAATGCTATGATTTTTATTATTTTAAATTGGTTACCTGTCAAAAAATGTTGTAAATGATTGAACTCTAAATTTATTTTTCAAATCATTATATATTTATATTATATTTTTATGACATATTTGTTGATTTGTCATAGTCAATTTTCAAACAAAATTATAAAAATAAGCATCGACTTGGTAAGCTATGACAATCTTATACTACTAACTTAAATACATAAATTTAAAAATAAATTATATAAGTAATCAAATATGTATAAATAATATAAACTAAGTAATAATAAATAACTAATAATTTTTTACTGTCTTATAGGAATGCAAAAAATTAGATCCAAATATATGTGTTTTAGAAAATGATAAAATTAAATTGGAAAATAAACTTACATACTTAAATGATAATATGATCAATATTCAAAAGAGTATTAATGATATCTTAAGGAATATTGAAGATAATGGAGCTACAAAAATTAAAGTTTGTATTTTTCTTAAAATTTGTCATTTATATAAGGTACTTGTAATTGCTTAGTTACCAATCTAGATATTTGACACCTAACTATAAGATATCTATTCTGTAATATCTGTACAGTGTACATAGTTTGACCATCACTAACCCTACCAAATCAGTGAAGAAACTATGCAGAGTCTAGTCTTCCTAAAAAAACAGAAGAAAAATTTTGGGGGAAATGACTTAATTAATGAGAAACATAAGTACTTATTATGTGTATGATGTTAATGATGTGCCTATTTAAATAAGTAGTAGTAAATACTAGATAATTCAAATTTGGTGGTTGGTGGATGCCTTACCTGGTTTTTTTCTATTAAAATATACTTCTTTGCAATTTTATTTTTGAGATATGATTTAAATTGTGAACAAATCTTAAAATTAATTTAAAATTTACAAAGCTATGATTTCTAACGTAAGCCCCCAACAGTCAATAGGTTAATTATGATTGCTCTTAAATGTTTCCAGGCCACCACCACCATATCCTTATAGTGGCTTATACCATTTGACATTATTGTATACTTTGAATCAAAATTAAAATATACATAAATAGAAATAAATTGGGACAAATTATCCTAACTAAACAATTTTTTGAATTATTATTTATTTGTTTGTAAAGTGCATTGTATTAAATTTTATACTATCATACTATCATACTTAGGTACCACGTTCTAATTATACTTTTTTTTTCCAGAACATTCATATTTTAAGTTACAAGCAAAATTATGCCAAATTCTTAGATACCGTTAAAAAAGGACACTACCGTTTGCAGATAAAAAGTGAATTGAAAATGAATGATGAATTTTCAGACGAGTGGAAGAAAAATTCTGACTTAATAAGCGTCGTAGAAGCTTTGAAAAACGATTTTCCATTCTTAGATTTTCAAATTACACGATTATTATATATTTTGAAGTCTATTGACAATAAGTCATAGTAAAAAGTAATTTATAAAAAAAACCTATTCAACTAAAATCCGTAAACTGCGAGGTAAACTGTAATTCAGGGGACAGGGGTCTTCAATCTTTGTATAGACATTAGACAGTGGGCCACCTATTATTTTTAATAAATTGCAACGGCCACAATATTCATAATAAAAATTTGTGTTAAATCTTAAAAAAAACACGCTACCTATGTAGCATAAGATGAGTTCGCAATTTGAAGCTTCAAATAAAGACAAGTCGTGCCTCGGATTAAAGACCCTCGCTAGAGATTGGCATCAGGGCATCACAGTATTTGGTTTCTTTCTTAGGCATACGCGTATATACTCGGCACACGTTAAGATCATGACCAGTCGCACATTCAAAACAATTTTCCTCCTACCGCAGGGCTCACTATAAAACTTCGGGGAGCGGTTAGGTTAAGTAACCTAATCTAACCTTGAATGCGCGACTGGTCATGATCCTAACGTGCGCCGAGTATAGATAAAACGAATTTATCTAAAATTGTTTTTTTTTATGATTTTGGAATAGGTAATATTAGAACAAAATCATCCATTACAAAAAATAAAAATAAAAATTATAAGAATAGTATTTTTGAGGGGGTTGACATGTCATTGGGCTTATAATTTGTTATTATTTAATTATATGTTATATTCGATTTGAAATGAGAATAAAAATAATAAATTTAAATGGATATTAATTTATTTCGGGACAGTAACTATTTATACAAATCGATGTCATACCCTCCATAATAGTAATCTTTTTAAATCTTAATTTTTGTAGTAGTTGATTTTACTCGAAAACAAAAAAAAATTGACATCTGAATTCAGTGACAGTAGAACCCCCGATTATCCGTCCCCCGATTAACCGTCTTTCTCGGTTAACCGTTAACCGTTAACCGTCAGGCCACTTGTGTATGAGTAGGTTATAAATAATATGTATAATCCGAAACTTTCAGCTGTTACTGCTTCGAAGAAATAGAGATATGGCAGCCAAAAAAGCACGTAATATGTTAAAACAACAAAAATTAACCGATTTTTATAATATTAATTGTTAAGTATTTTTGTATTTTTGTTTGTAAATGTAAACAATAAAACTTTTTAATAAATTAAAAAAAAATAATATTAATGTACCAATAAGTAATAGTACCTAATTATATCAATATATATGTCATAATTACTAAAAAAAATAATAAATAATATGTATGTATGTTTAAATTTTTGTTTTCGTTTAACCGTCTTTTCGATTATCCGTCAAAGCTCTGGTCCCGACACTGACGGTTAATTGAGGTTCTACTGTATATAAAATCTTTGTATAGTACCTATTATACATTTATACGACAACGATTCTGTGCAATGACAGACCGTCGGCCTATAATATTACTAAGTAAATATATTTTATGATATTATGAATTTTATTATGTATTGTGATTAAAATAATTTATTTTATTATTTGGCATCAGGACTAGTAGGCTAGTAGGTTAAATTCGTTTTTGTTGAAAAAATTGCATTAGAAAATGTCATTGTGTGTATAACATTTAATGTAATATATTACCTACTCTAAAAACTAAAAAGTTAAAGTCTTAAGTAGGTACCCACAAATATTTTAAAATTATGACAAAATAACTAAAATCGTTGATCGTGGTTTTAATAGGTAGTTATTTAGGGAGTTTCGTTCAAATTTGAAATTGAAATAATTAGGAAAAACTTATGAGGAATTTTGTATTAAGATTTCAAATCTTAGATATAAAAAAATATATTTTTATGAATTTCCAACTCAAAATTATTTGCAAATTTTCGTGATTTTTACGAATTTTATCTAAATTCTAACAGTCGCTCATATAAAAGTATTGTGGATTTTGTTTGGGTAATTTTTTTAGAGTTACACCAAAACTCAAAATCGATCTCACCTTAAAAATTTCTGTTTTTTTAAAAATTGTATAATTGATAAATTAATTTTTTTAGAAATAATTAATAGTTTTGCTTAATGTTTTTTTTCAGTAAATACAAAATTGAACAATAAAATAAAAATAAATTTTCTGTGATGTGAAAATATGGTAATCGTGCTACTCTTAGCACGCTACTATAGGTTTGCAACCCCTGCTATATTGTATACATATTATGAATGTCTTGAAAATTTGGAGTTTTAATTGCCTACAAATGACATAACTCAACCACTGAATAAATGTGAACAGTACAATAATATCCATAGTTATAAATTCAGTAAAATCCATTTATTCGGGACAAATTAGAATAGTCACAAACAAAAAAAAACAATTTAATTCAGTTGATCAGGACTAATAGATCACCCAATCACCATTCTACGTGTCCACATTAAACGGATTCTACTGCATATATTTTTGGTAAATTCAACCAATGACTTCAGTATCTAAAAATTACTTTTTGTGATAAAATTAAAAACTCATCAATTATTAAAATAAATTGCATTGAAGTTTTATAACATAGTTATTTTAACTTGTAAGTAAATAGTAGGTATCATTAAATACTAAAAATTAAAGACTTATTATTATGGCTATAGATACAATCCGTATCATAGAATATTTAGCCATGATTAATTAATATTATACATTTAGACAAAGCTATAAATTAGAATGTAATGTTAATACTTTTAAGTTGTAATATTAAATTGAAATGAAGAAAATAATGAAAATAATAAAGGATCAAATCAAAGGACAAAGAACAATTAAAGACAATAAAATAAACAATATTAATAATTGACGCGGGGCGCGAGCATAAGTACAATATGTACGTTCGTGATTATTACTATTTACTATCTTATATCACAGTATACAATAATAATATTATGCTTGATTATATACAGTGTGGCCTGGGATTGTGATAACAATAATTAATGGTAGGCAACACAAACTTGTTTGACTGCATTTTAGTCATTACAGCTGCAGCTGCACTGCAGTCCTCCTCGTGCCGCCCCAGCGTGTTGTTTTCTCTTTTTACTATTGTACTTTTTTTATCATCAAGTCATAACATAGGTAGTACATAGTGGTCGTTGTACTCCGACTATGATTTAATTATTTATTAATTACTATTTTTTTAATGTTATATTTTGCGATCAAAATCTATATTATATTATAGTATTTAGAGAACAATGTATACGTTCCTGCTTTTATAGTGCTCATTAATTATACTACTATTTTTACTATAAAATTTTATTTTTTTCAATAATGAAAGGTTTAAATTTAAATATAAATTTTCATACCTTTCAATGTTTTAATAAGATGTGTAAAGCAAGTTCAATTTTCTCATACATTTGTTAAATGTACTACCAGTTAAATCCAGAATGTGTCTATAATTCAGAATCTTTCTAAATATCTAGCTGCATAAACGTAAATATTAACAGGTTAGTATCTTGTTTAGTATCATGGGCTAAAGTTATCTTAGTTCATGTTTATTATGTATACAATTTTAAACGAGAAGTGTTGATATAAGAAGTGGTCGACCAATGAATTTTGTTTAAATTTTAAACCAATAATGAAATTGTTGTACCTGTAAAACCATTCTGATAGCTGCTACTAGGCTTAATAAAAAATATTTGACGTTTATCTCATTATAACAGGTAGCTGCATTATAAATCTAATATACCTATGATAAAAAATCTTTTTCTTATAAAAATTTATTTTTTACAGGTATAAAATAAAATAAGATTAAGAGCATAATATTGTTATAAAGAATAAAACAATAATTAAATATAGCTACCTATTGTATTTCCTGTATATACTTTATACCTATGAGAGTTTTTTAAAATTAATTTGAAGCATTTGATTTTATTTCAATCAGTTCTTGAATGTCTATGGCCACACGTCCACATATTTTTCAACAGACATTAGCATTAAAGGTTTTAGGCAAACTTGTTAAAGATATTTTATTAAAAGTACCTTATCAAGTACAGATGCAGATAATTATTTTAAAGTGTATTTAAAATATGTTTTTGTTCCTACCCAGTTAAAAAGTATTTGAGAAGAAATACAGATACAAACTACAAAGCATTTAAGTATCTAAAGATATTTTCAAATAATTTCAACAGTAATATTATACTTAAATCAACTGAACTGAGTTGTTTTAACATTTTCATGTAAATCAAATTTAAAATAAAAATAGGTACATGAACTAAAAATTAGTAATTTATTTTAAATACTTACAAATAATGTGAGAAAGTATTTAAATTAATTTGTTTAAGTACTTAATTTAAAAAAAATACTTTTATTGTTTATTTAAAACATACACCAGACTAGGTACCGTCTTGAAAGGTATTTGAATATTTTTACTCAAATTCTTTACAAGACTTGGTTCTAAGTGACTATTGGTGTAATGTAAAAAAAAATTTGTTTTTAATATATTTAGGTAATATATATAATATATTATACCAAAATACTCGTTAGCAAGTGGTCTGAGTTGATAGCAACAAAAACTGTTTTATAATTATTATCAGGGGTTGGAACTTTATGTATTTGCATATTTCTTAGGAAGCTGCGCATTCAAAATCTGATTTGATACAAATTTGTTTCATACTACATACTATCTAAATACAAAAATGTATGTTGTATATTTTTACATATTTGACTAACTTTACATGATTTTGCATATTTAAAGATTTTGAGCATATAAATGCATATTATGTTGGTAAACCATTGATTTAAAAATTTAAAAATAAAGAGCCGCCATACATTGTCTATATTTTGAATTATACTATAACAAAAATCAATTACAATTCATTGATCCTGTAAAAACAATTTATTTTTACCAAGAACTGTGTAGGCACTTGTTGGTTGTTACAATTTACTAATGATCGGCTAGGTTATACACTTATACCTTATATTAGCTATATTAATATTTGAGCACCTAGCTATTGTTTGATTAATGCCTGTGTTTAGTGTGTTCATGGGACCGTGATTGCTTATCGCTTAATATTTATTTTAATTTTAATTGTTATTGATATTTGAAAAATAAATCAATATTCCTAAAGAAAAAACATCTTTAAGTAGTTGTTTACATATTTTTGTAGCTGGGTTTGGTGGAAATGTTTTCAGTATTGATTCTGAGGTATTGTTTTGAAAATATTGTGAAACGACAATCGATTCGGAAGAAGATCCAGTGCATAATACCATGACTTGATATTTGCTTTATGAATTGATAGAATTATATTTGGATATTTAGGACTGAATAATCGGAGAATTATTTTTCCACAAACGAACTATCTACAAAATAAAAATGTATAGGTATTTAATTAAAAAATAACTATTCATTTTTTAGGCTTAATAAAATGTATAAATACCTATATATTTATTTTAAAAATAACTGCATATTGTACTGCATAATATTGCATATTTAAGCCTTTTTTAGTGCATATGTATACACATATTTCATAATTTTTTTAGCGCATAAAGTTCTAAGCCCTGATTATTATAATACAGACTTATAGAAAACAAATACATTTTAGTAAATTAAAAATCAGAATACACCAAAAGCAACATCTAAACGATAGATGGAAATACTCTTATGTAACCTAATTAGGTATTTGAGTATGATGTAAAAAGATGGTACCTACCAACAAACTAAGTGTCAAATAACAATATTTGCCACAATATTAGCTAAGCTCGACATCTAAAAAAAAATTCTGTTTTGAAATTCAAATGTTAGTAAAATATTGATTGTATAACAATTTTCTTCAGAATTTGTATCACAAATAACTCGCCTCTAATCATTATATATTTATATGACTGGACAAAATCTCCAGTATTTACAGTGTTAAAAGTTAAGTATTTAGTTGCTTAAAATTTTTTTGTCTTATTTAACCACTTATATTTGTTAATAGTAATAATTTGATTGCATTTCATGATTTTAATTTTGTTTGGTCATTTTTCTCAAGATTCTTATTTTTATAATTTATAGTGTAATAACTAGGTCCTAATAATTAATGTAAATTAGTTCTAATCCTGTTACTAAAGTTTGGTAGATTAATGTAAATATTGATGATAAAATATCTACTAAAAATCTATAAAAAATCTATACCTCTATAAATTATACATTTAATAGTT